AAAAAAAAGGTAGTACAATTATAACTCCCAAAAAAAGGAAAAAAAGTAATATTCTTATATAACAGTGGTAATCAGTTGTGATTAAAAAATTTTGTAACCTTTAATGTTAAGACTACTTGAATTTATTAAATATTTTGCAGTCTCATTTTAAATTACATATTCTTAGTAACATTTTTCAGCCCTTGTTCCAAGCCTACCAAAGGAAAATAAATAATTTTTATTGAAAGAGTATGGTTTAAAATTGGAGACAGAAATTATTTTCTTTTTAATCACGACTGGGGGCTAATTTTGTTTTTTTTTTTTTTTTGAACAGTGTGAAATTCTTTTTTCAAAAGAGAAAAGGGATTTGGGATTTGATCTCAAATCCTTTTAGTCCTAAGCATGCCCTGCAGGGGTTGCCATTGGGTCAGCAAGTGCTGGACGGGGCTAATTTTGTTTTATTCTTACACTAATTTAATAATTTATAGTCCCTTTTAAATGAAAAAATTAATCACAATCACTAATCTGACTCACTCACTCATTAAGTGGCACGTTCGTAATTAAATAGAATACCAGTGACATTTTAAAGAAGTAAACCTTACGTAGTTATTGCTTATATAACAACACGATGAGGAGCTTCGTTTGCAAAGCGTGGATCAAACATTGCAGTAAATTCCCCAACCGAAACAACTACCTGAAGCACTCAAATGGCCAAACTATTCTTATTTTCTCCCAAATTACAACCCCTTCTCTCCCTTTTCTTCCTCATCTTCATACCCTCCAATGTGAGTTCACAAAGCATTGAAACAGAACGTACAATTCTTCTCAAACTTAAGCAACAGCTGGGTAATCCGTTGGCGATTCAGTCATGGAATGCCTCATCCTCACCGTGTTCTTGGACGGGAATCAACTGCACTCAAGGTTCAGTCACCGCCATTTCGCTCCGTAATATGGACATTAGGGTCAAAATCCCACCAACAATATGTGACCTTAAGAGCCTCAATGTCCTTGATCTGGCCTACAATTATATCCCTGGTGAGTTCCCAAAACTGCTGTACAATTGCTCCAAGCTCCAGTACTTAGACCTCTCCATGAACTACTTTGTCGACCCCATTCCCGATGATATTGAACGGTTATCGACTCTGCTTTACTTAGACGTCAGTGCCAACAATTTTTCTGGTGACATTCCGCCGAGTGTTGGCCGATTACCGGAGTTGCGAGAACTCCATCTCGACGGGAATGAGTTCCACAATGCCACTTGTCCGGAGGAAATCGGAAACCTATCCAATCTTGAGCATCTGGCTATGGCCTATAATGGGTTTGCGCCCATGAAGATACCTGATAGGTTCAGTCAACTGAAGAGACTGAAGTACTTATGGATGACGGAAACAAATTTAATCGGCGAAATTCCGGAAGGCATCGCGGACCTGTCCAGTCTGGAGTGGTTGGATTTGGC